ACTATTCGGTCAGATAACAGTAGTCCAAGAGTTAGCGGTTCATGCGTTGGCTAATTTCTTCCTTCTAATCTGCTCCTCAGTGGCTCTGAGTTATGTTGAGCAGATTGAACTAAATTTTCTTCTTGAAATAGAATTTTATTATCATTAAAATTACTTATTTGTTTGTTGTTTTTTTCGGATTTGCGTTCAGCCGTCCCTAATTTTAAACTAGTAGATTAGAAGGTGTGTTTGCTTTTAAGCGCAAAGCTACAAAATGTTCTGTCTGTGCTGTGCCCACCACGAGTATTGAAATCTAGTTTTTATCATTATAAGGTTACCAACATAACGCAGAGCCACTGAGGAGCAGGTTAGAAGGAAGAAATTAGCCAACGCATGAACCGCTAACTCTTGGACTACTGTTATCTGACCGAATAGTGAGAAACAATAATAGCAGTTCGTGGAAAACTCAAACGACTCATTGAACACATTGTATAAATGGTTGCCTGCCAAAATGTTGGTTTCGAGATGACATTTCGAGCTCTCGAATTATAAAGAAATAAGCACGGAGGCTGTGATTCATCTAGAAATCTATGTCCGTGCTGTCATCGTAATTATTTCTGTTGTTTGAAAAAGACTTGATATTGTAAGTATCTGGTAAAATACTAGTTTTTATCCCGGTTACGTTTTAGTTGATTTTATCTACTGTTGTTTTCCACAGTCACAGATGACATTGCTGACAAGCATGACATTTCTGGACAATTTCTGTGTTATGATTGTTTGTTTGTAGTTATGCACAAAGCTACACAATGGGCTATCTGGGCTCTGCCCACCGCGGGTATCGAAACCCGGTTTCTAGCGTTGTAAGTCCGCAGACATACCGCTGAGCCACTGGGGGCTTGTGTTGTGAAAGAGAGAGTAACGTGACTGCCATTCTTTGGGCGACTATTTCATTTGACTGTATTTGTGGTTGATGTCATGAAATATGATCTAGATGAATGTTTCTACCAGAATAATAAATTTTGGTTACTTTTATTTTCGTAACGTTGTTTGGGGGTAATCCTAACTCAATGAGTTGGCATGTATAGGTTATTTTAGTTCGGTTTTCAAATATCATGTGGAGTAAGAGATATATGAAATTACTTGGCGAGAAAAAAAAAAGAGGGGGAGGAATAGCTAGATCTAAAACTAAAGAATTTGTGGCGTGGATCGATAGATCAAAAGAATCGGGTGAGTATCTCTTCTAAAATGATATCCCCTAGGGAAGTCTACAACTCTAAGTGACTAAGTAGATAGGACTGTCATCTGTGTGAAGTACTCATATTGTTTGGTCCTGTTTTTTCACCTACCTCATGCAACACGTGCTAAACAACAACTCTAGTTAAGAATGCATTCAAGAAAACTCAAACCACAAGCAGAATAAACCAACTTAGATCGAATTTATTTCTTCCTCCATAGCCTTGAAAAGGGTCTCTAACTTGCAGTATAATCAATACCATCACCTTCTTCCCTCTCCTTCTTGCTCTTGCTCTTGTCTCCTGCAGTATCATACATTTCCAAGTATAATAGACAACTCTTTCCGACACCTACCTCAGTTCCATACCTTCGTGTCGACATTTTATCGTGGTTGTATGAAGAGGGCTTCACGTTCCTGAACATCCTTGGAGAGAATTTCCACTACCCCAAAAGCGTTCACTTGTTGTTGTTTTTTTTTACTTGATTTGTATTGAGTTCTCGCTCTTGTTTTGTTTTCTTTCTGTCGTTTTACTTATTCTCAGCCCCAACAGTTAGTCAATAGCCACACAGAATTGGATGCTGCCTAGCAAGTTGGGGATATTACAACATTTATGTGAACACAAATTTTGTTTGCTTGTGTTTGTTTTCCTTTACTGTTTATGTGCAATTTAGTCTTTGTTTAAAAATTCTGAACCTGCGTTTTGAGGAAACTTTTCGCTCTTCTTTTAGACATCAGTGAATCTTAATACTATAGACATGCACAGAATTTTGTGCCAGAAAGGTATATGGAAACATATATTTGATGTTGTGTAAGCTTCAACGATATTTTGACATGTTTCAGTATTCTTCTTTATAAGTTTGTTCTGTGAAATAACTTTTATAACTTCTACATCACCAATGGTAGAGTTATAGCTTATGTTGCCCACACTCAATTTATATTAATATGAGAAATATGATGTACAAGTTACTGTCTGATTCGTTCTACAGCTAGTTTGGGAAGGCAGAACTAAAATTTCAGCATTATAGTCAGTACAACTAAATTAATACATGTCAGCAGTGGTTAATACAAGAAATGAAATAGGCTGTATTAATAAACTATCTCGAGATAAGATTTTATAGTTAAAAGGTTCTTCAACTTAATCAAAAACGAACCTAATATTAGTTTGTATTTTAGTAATATTATTTATTCACTGATAGTTTATCAACTTCACGGATCAGATACCAGTAGTTACACCCTGTAGAATATGAGTACATTTCAAAGTTAAATTGTTAAAAATTAGAGTCTGACTGAATCACTCCAAAAGAGTCACTTCTTGTAAGTTAGTCTGTCGCTATAATGGTTTCTTTTTGAGAACGTGTAGTCCAGAATAGTTCTAGCCAAATCACATCACTCATAATTCTGTATCAGTCAGGTGTGATTGTGTTAATGAAACCTGATATGGCCGAGTTTAGTATCACGTGAGAAGATCATCAAGCTGTTAATCAGCTTCTTGGAAACTCAATAAAATACGCACTTGCATTCTTATTGACGTTACTTTAAATTATAACTAAAATGGGTATATGCAAAGCCTTTCCATTTTGTCCTTCCACACAAGGACCCATTGGTCATTGGTAGAGACCTGAAACATTGATTTATCTAAAAAGGGCAAAAGCTTTAACTGGAGCTGCTGCTAATTGTCATTATTTTGCAAAAAAAAAAAAAAATTGTGTGGCCATTTGGAGCGTGAAGGAGATTTTGTCTAGACCTTAAACTAACGTTATGAATCCCGTCTTTACCATTTTGTCACTGATAATCATTTCATAAGCTGTCCTGTGATCCATGTTGAGACCACTGGTAGATGACTGTTAATTTCTAAATGCCATGTTGGGTCGATACAGGTCATTATGATATAGTTAACCTTTTGTGACCTTGATCTAACTTTACAAATGTATACAAGTTGTTTTATGGATTGTTCACAGCTTCTTATCATTGACATGGATACACAAGAGCTGTCCAATTTCTGTATGTCTGTCTAGTGCTTAGCATTTCAAATAGTCTGACGATCCTTATTTCTATCAAAAACAATTTCAATCACCAAAACACCAAATCTGAAGATGCAGTTTGGGTACTGCTTTTTTCTCCAGATAGGGACATGTGTAAAATGCACCAAAAAACGACAAAAGCACAAAAATAGCCACACGTTTCTACTATAGGACATACTGAATATCCATATAACTAATGACATGCAATTGCATGTAATTTTCGAGGCTTCATCAAATGTTTGTTCTTCTAAGTTTTTGGTATAGTGTAATGTCAATATTATAATTAACACCACCATTGTATAAGGTAGTACTAATGCATGTCATTATTATAGTATTTAGTCTGTTGAGTTTTTTAATGTAGAATCCGATAAATTGAATACAGATGTGATGTACACAATTTATGTAGATAATATGAAGAGTTAAAAACAAATTTACCTGTGTCAATATTAGATGCAGAAAAGAAAAGCTTCATTTTCTTAAAACAGTTTCTTCTTGTCATTTATCGTAAGACAAGTTCCTTAGAATATGAAAACCATGGTTAATTCAAATATATAATTCGGTATTTATATATAAAAAAAGAGTTTTGAAGTTGTTTATGGAGTATATTTGTTTGAAGTTAAGCACAAAGCAACTCAATGGGCTATCCGTGCTCTGCCCGCCACGGGTATCGAAACCAGGATTCTAGCGTAGTAAGTCCGCAGACATACCGCTGTGCATTGGGGGCCGTTTATAGAGTAAAACTAAAAGGTAGTTCTCTATAAATTATGGTAATTTCAAGTATCTTGTGTAGCTTAAGTATAAATGAACAAAGAATGTAGAGACACGAATAGACACATTAATACATTTTATTAACTGTATTAAAAGATTCAAACTATAAATATCTAATTCTTTAACATACACATAATGTGAATTTTTCGTCAAAGCAAAAATCTGATACTTATAAAGAATTAATAGTCATTCTTCACATTTTAAGTAGTTTATTGCAGGTCCTGAGGAGTTTATGGCAGCTGAAATTGTATCCACTCTTTACAAGCTCAACAAAAACTTGTGTAAGTCATGAAACTGTTGCACTTATTTATTAGCTCCACAAAAGTCATTATCGTCAAAACATAACATGTATAATAGTTACTGCAATTATATTAAACAATTAAGGGCATTATAAGAACATGTAAACCCCTTTTTTTGAATGTCCGTTTTATAACTAAATTATTACACCAAATCAGTACAAACTAAGGCAAGTTAAAAAGGACGAAAGTTAGGTTTTGCCTTGATAAAAGGCCAAGTTCAGTACTAATAAAGAAAAGGTATAATTTCACAATGACATAAAAAGTACTTTAAAATATCTTTTAAAAAAGAAATTGTTTTTTTAATCCTATGATATAGTTTTATTTTGTGTTTCTATAATGTTAAAGTTCTGTAGTATTCTTTTCTTCATCTAACATCTAGTAAACCATCTTTCTAGGTAAGTTGCTTTATGGCCATTACGATTTGAATCCCGAATCCAGTGTACTTGAGGGTTATGGCTGCTGTGGTGGTTGTCCGGCCAATGTACAGGATCGGCAGCAGAACTGACCGTAATAACGATTACTACAATACCGGACCTTGACGATTATATCACAGTTAGCAAAAAAAGGGCTGTCCGTACATTCTGGTGAAGTTAGTGACTCTGTAATAGAAATGTGTAGAGCCAAAATTAATTAATCATTTAAATATCCGAACACAGCTGTACAGGGCCGTTGCTAAGGTGGGTGGGTATGCAACAGATACATTTCCACCACACCCTCCGAGACACAGAAATCCCCAAGTGAAACAAGCCTCTGTCACTTACCCTCTCCCACTTTCTTCCTGATACAAAAATTTGTAATATTATATATTCTGAAAGTTAAACCTTAAGATATAATTGCAAGTTAGCATGGCGTATTTTGTGCTTTGATAAGAGTCCGTCATAAATTATAAACATTGGTCTAAAAAGTATGTAACTTTTGATTTGAATTACCTATTTTAGATAGCCTAACCCCATCAAAATTTTTAATTGTTTTATTTACGATATTTCAACTCGACTTTTAATCCTGATTTGACATATTAATCAAATACACATGGAAATAGTTAAGACAATTGTTAAAAGAGCCACAGATTTCATATTTACACTAAGACTCCCAAATCTCTTGCAACGAGCCTGCAGCTGTAGATAGTACAGAGGGTTTAGTATGTTATATTAAAACGATTTTGGGTCATAACTTCTTCGTTACAATCCGTGTCACCACGTCCGGTCATACTCTTTTATACAAAAGTATATTTCTACAATAATCATTCATCGTAGTTTCCAATACAAAAACAAACCATGTCTAACTATTGGTTTTCATAATCCATTTAGTTTACGAATACAACTGTTTCCTACTGCAGAAATCCTAGAGTGTCGGGTGACTTAACCGTCATGTCTTTGTATGGATTAAGATGAATCCCCATTTTATTCCTCACCTGCTTGAATTATACAACGGTTGGACGGGAGGTATGACTGGAAGCCTTATCTTGGAGAACCAATACGCTGATGACCTTGTTTCCAGACAGGGATCTTTTTTGATTAAATCGCGTATAGTTGCCTGGTGCATGTGGACGGCTTTTCCCACTGATCTTTGTGTTCTTGGATTCTCACTTGTGAGTACGACTTGTTGCAAGTCTCTTTCAGCATACTCCTAGTGTCCCAAGTTGATCCATATTCATTTGTTCTCCAATATGTTAAGTACAAGGGTTAGCCTTGTCTTTGAAATTGTAAATTCCTAATCTGAACACATCTTATGACTTGGGTGTATGAATATTTTGATTTCGAAAGGATTGTTACATACCATTTACAAAAGCGATCAGTATTCGGTGGCATAACATTCCCTAGGTAATGCTAAACAATGTTATATGTATTTCTGATACAAGTCGTTCCACCTCGACTTTATATCGGCTGGGGTTGTCACTTGTTGATTTGCACATTCAAAATCGTTTTAATATAAAATACTGAACTTTGTATACAATATATTCGAAAATGTATGAGAAAAATAAGACATGCACTTTACTCAAATGACCTAATATATATATATATTGAAAGAAATTCGTTATTAATAGTACAATAATAACAGATACAGCGTTTCATATTTAAAACATATCGTTTCGTAAGTTGTATGATTTATTAGTCATATTATTACCTAGTTGAGCCTACATTATGAAGACGCATCTTAACAAATGTGTTCATGTCACTTTTTTATTTTATGGTTACATATCTTAACCATATAGGTTACACCACCTTACAGGGGCAACAATTATCTTAATTCTATAGGTCACATCAGGTTACAAGGGCAACAAATATCTTAACTGTATAGGTCACTTCAACTTACAGGGGGCAACAACTGTCGTAACTATATACTGCACACCCGCTCACAAAGGCAAAAAACCATCATAACTGTATAGGTCACATCAGCTTACAGGAGCAATAACTATCTTAACTGTATAGATCGCATCAGCTAACAGAGGCAAAAACTGTATTTTAACCACACAGGTCATGTAAAACATTCTACTTAACACAGAGCCACTGGAGTAAGGTAACTTCCTTGAATAGACAAATCGGGTATATCTCAATAATTTCTGTTGAAACGTTATGCGACAAGGTTTAGGTGATAATATTATGTTAACGAGGCCTTTGACTCCTACTGTTCAGACTTGTTCACTACTATCCCGAATAACGGGTTTAACATATGTAAAAACCAGTTGTCAATTTGTGTGTGTGCAACGCTCATATTATGGGTCATTTTCAAATTTAAGTAGCCCCATTTTTTGAGTGTTTATTCAAAAATTGGTTTTATTTTCTCAATGTGCGATTCTTTTCTTTATGGTGAAGTGGAAAGTTTGTTGTACGAAGCTCGCTAAAAGAAGGGCGTGGTGGGGAGGGGGTGGTGGCTCCCTTTTGTTTTTTTTTTTAATGTGTGCAAAACTTTAACCCGTCATACTTTGACAGGTCGAGAAAGCTAGTAAATAAATATTTATTATGACAAAGGAGTTCTGTTCTCTCTTCCTTGTAGCGAATTTAATAAACATCAACACAAAAAAAAAACCAGGATTAAGCAAAAAATTCTCAGTTTTAAAACTATTAAATCATATTTTAGATTTTAATACTTAACTGTTAGAAATATTTGGTGACAGATTTTAATACTCTCACTGACTTGATATTGTTCAATCAAATTATATCCCCCTTTAGTACTAACTTATCTAATTCTATTTATATCCATAGGTATCAACATCTCTGAAAATGAACTAGTAGTAATTCTGGATGAACTAAAGATGGAATAATTATCACAATATGCCAGTATGTTACCTTTTAAATGAAGCAAAGTGCCATTTTACTTGTAATGTAATGAAAAATCGTACCTTCAACTTTAAGAATCACCGAAGCCATGGCTTCAGTCTGGTAATTAGCAGCGATGCAAGTGTATTCTCCACTGTCGCTGACTTGGGCTGTGTGTATTACCAGCGTGTTGTTAGCTAGAAGTCTGTGGTGAGAATTATTGCTTAACGGAAAGGTATCATTACCAAAATACCAGGCAACAATCGGGTTTTGAGATCCGTTGACTTTACAGTCGATTTGGAGGCGAGAGCCGACTGTGGGATTTCGAGTCTCGAAGCTAACTTCTACATTTAATTTTGCTGAAAAAAAAACAAACAAAAAAACTCGAATTCTGAGATAACATTTCCAACACAATGATATAATATTTTAAGCTGTACGAGTCCTTCGTAAGATTTAAAATTAATGTAAGTTTAATGTAAACGTGTTTTTTGCAATATCCTAAAGTTTAAATTGTGTATGATAAGAAGGATAAATAAAATTTCAAACATATTTACAAAATATAAGAGTCTACACAACTCAAAACGAACCTGATCATAATGGGTGTTTTTTATTTTTAAATGTGTTTGTGTGCATAAAATACAAGTGTGTCCGGAGTTCTAACAAGAATAACATAATATGTAGTTTTTGATGAAACACCAGCTATTTTATAAACATTTAATGCTTAAAAAAGCCCCATGAAATTGTAGTATACAGCTTTGAAATTGGTTTATCATAAATAAATGTTTAAGTTCTAGTTGATTTATTTATAGTTGATGTTAAAAAATAATAAATTAGATTCATAATACATCAAGAAATCGCCATTTTTGAAATATTTTTGTAAATATACCAGTATATACCATTTTTTCTGTATTTTACCGAAACCATTAACTTAACTTTTAGTTAATAGCATTTTCTATGTTAAACTGTATGTTATTGTGTTTGCCGCTAAATGCTTACCTAGTTCAAATAATGGTTGGAGACGGCTTGAATGGGTAATGAAGAAAACTTTAATATAAGTTTAAGATAACAGCAAATGTACAACGTTTCGACAAGGTTTTGCCATCATCAGGATAAAACCTTGTCGAAACGTTGTACATTTGCTGTTATGTCAAACTTATATTAAAGTTTTTCTTCATTCCCTATTCAAGCCGTCTCCAGCCATTATTAGTCTCAAAGTGGGTTCCTCGTCATCGAATTTGAAAACAACCCTACTCTAAACCAACACCCCGGGGTGCCTAGATACCTCTTCTAAGTTTCGCAACAGTTCCGGTCATGTGACTTCTTTGTTCAACACTGTATATATATATATCCGTGTAAGTGTAAATTACTTGTACCTGATGATGAGAAAACCTTGTCGAAACGTTGTACATTTGCTATTATCTTAAACTTATATTAAAGTTTTTCTTCATTACCCATTCAAGCCGTCTCCAACCATTATTAATCTCAAAGTGGGTTCCTCGTCATCGAAATTACCTAGTTCTAATTTTGTCACAAGATCTAATGCTGGCATTAAGAGTTGATTTTATTTCGTCACAGACAGCGCATGCCCCGCGTATATCTGTGATAAGAGAAGTCACACTAACCTCTCAGTATAGGATCAACGCATATTTTAGAACACCCATCGAAACAGCACTTCATGTGCCCTTTACAGTCTGCATCGTCTTGACAATGGTTCCAACATTCTGGTCTTGAAATGGTGACTGGCTGGTCAGCCATGAAATCCTGGGTCAGTGAACATCTCCCAGGTTTGGCCACTGATTTTGTAATTAAAAACAAAACATGATACAGTATATTTCAGCTTTAAAAATTGTAATATTTTTACATTACATATTACAAAGTAGTAAGAGCATTAAAATCCTTTGCTGACTTTTTAAGTAACTGTTGTCAGAATTATGTAATTAAACATCTTACTCAACTTTGTTTGTTTGTTTTTAAATTTAAGCACGAAACAACACAATGGGCTATCTGTGCTCTGCCACTGGGGGCCCCTTACTACAAGAAAAACGAAGGTAGTTATAAGTACGTATTATTCTTCATTGACATATTGAGGATAACCTTAATGTCATGTTTATTACTAACAAAAGTACAAACTTTCAGACCACTGAACCAAATAAAAAGTTAGACACTTCTTAAACTAACAAATATCGGGGGGGGGGGGCGAACTGTTGCTCCATGGATAAAATTATAATAAAAAATAATAATATCGTTTGTCATAATAATAAAAAGGCATACTCTTCCCATAATACAATGGCGTACGAAGCGGGGGCCGGGGGAGGCTCACTTTTAAATCTGTCTCAGTAAAAATGCAACAAAGTTAGGAAAATTACTCTCAAGAAAAGCAGGAGAATGCAGGAGCTTCCCGGGCATAATGGGTGCGTCTGTAGCGCACATTACCTCTCCTCGATCTCCAAAATAAACCTCGGACCCCCAACTTTTAAAGTGCCTCTTATATCTCTGTAATAGGAATGTTGAAAAACACATCGTCAACTTGGCAAGGATTTCAGAAACGCAAAGGAAATAACGTGAATCGATAATCAATACCTGGAAATAAATCTCGAGGAATAAACACAAAATTCGTTAATGTAAGTTGTTACGAATGTACAATATTAAATCATGCTTTATGTAAGGAAATTAACCTAGCGAAATGACTAGTTTGTTTGTAGTTAAGCAGAAAGCTACATAATGGGCTATCTGTGCTATGCTCACCACGGGTGTCGAAACCCAGTTTCTAGCGTTAGAAATCCGCGGACTTACCACCTATGTGACACTGGAGAGTGGCGAAGTGACATCACAGTATAATAAAGTTGAAAGCTAAAACGTTCGTAAATCGGTAACTATAAAAATCAAAGTTGCAGATTTTAAACTTTTCTTTACATTTTATCTCGTAGCATTTCTTGAATTTAGTTACTTTATTTGATGACGAGATGAGTCAAGTACTTTAGGGGCTGAACAGGAATTTGCATTTTATATTCTTAATTTTTTTTGCCGAGTTTTGTCCACGAGTTAACCTTGTTTATGGTTTCATCTACTGCCAAGGAGTGGGAATGTTTAGTGACTATTATTTATGAACTATAAATATACGTATAAGCTAAGGCAAACGAATTTATAAAACCTATCCGAAAATCACGTTTTCTCAGATAATTATAAACGCAATTTCAAAGACGCTTACAAAACGGCCCCCCAGTGGCACAGCGGTATGTCTGCGGACTTACAACGCTAGAATCCGAATTTCGATACCCGTGGTGGGCAGAGCACAGATAGCCCATTGTGTAGCTTTGTGCTTAATTACAAACAAAGAAACAAACTTAGAAAACGAAATGGTTAACGTTACAGTGTGAACTTTAGTATTAGTATAATTGTAAAAATTGTCATAAAATAACCATCTGCTGAAAATATATTAACGTCGTAAAATAAAACAACTTGCCATGTCATTTAAATTATGTTGTATACGGATTAGAAATAGTTTACAAAAAGCCTAGTGCGCCAAAAACACAATGCCATTCAGATTGAAATGCAAGGCAAATAAATAAATCATGGTTGTGTATTTGTTAAATGACTTACCTTCTCGACACGTTGGCATATGTCGTGTTTGGGTGTATGCTAACTGATACATCTCCACCACACACCGCTGACCACTCGGGCAGTTGTGAAGCTGAAGAAAAATATACCCTTAATTAAACCGATATATTTATGACACACAAACAACAACAAAATCCAACTGACTATTCCTTTTTAACGAAGTTTATACGAGGTTATTTGTTATTTTTTAAATGCAAAGCTATATAATGGATTCTCTAGGCTATGCCCACTGCAGGTATCTAACCCTAAGTTTTAGTGTTATAAGCCTACAAGCTTACCGCTGAGTCACAGTGGGGAAGTGACGTTAACTATGTGTATTTTCTTAACTTTGCAACGGATTGAAGTTATGATTTATTTTAAGGTTAATATGTACGAAGGTTATATTTTTCAAAACACTACACTTGTAACGGTGAGGAATGATTTCTCAGAATACAACTCCAAATATTTGCTGTGAATGCGTGCCACAGGTATCTTGATTTTTTTTTTTATTTTAGATATTGAAACTAATTGATATTACAAACCTAATGCACGGTTTAACTTACTCAAAACTAATGTTCTTATAAAGGTAATCTTCTATAATAGTTTGCCCAAAGGTTCATCATTTCGTAAACTAAGCGGGCTTTTTAGTCATTGTCATATATTTTGTTTTTATAGAGTCTCCGAAAGTTGTTTCTGCGGAGATGGGTGTGACCTAATAATTAACGTGACGGACTGTAAATCAGAGGGATCGTTGTTCGAGTCTTGTTTCCGCAAAAATTAATTGCACGATTTGGAGCCGTGAGAGTGCTAATAACGATAACAGTGACGCTCCAATCACACTATTCGATAAGACAAGCTTTGGTGCGGATACTATGTGTTATTTTCCGCACATAATAATTTATCTATAACAAAACTGAATGTACACAATTAAACTTATCTATTTAGAAAACGAGATACAGTAGCTAAAGTACAGAGTAAAAATTATGTGCGTATAAAAGAAGATATAGTGCATAGAACTCGTAAATAACATATTATTGTTTTATCAGAGCCAATATATATACATATATGCAGTAACCAATCTGTTCTGGATACCTCCGAATCTGAGATACAGCGCTCGTTTCGGATTATTTATAAATCGACCCGGATATGTGGTGTGGTTTGTAATTAAGCACAAAG